AAGATCTTTTCTATTTCATGTAACATTGAAATAGATGAAACTATGGGATATGTGATAAATGTAAGCTTGAAAATATTGCCTCGGATTTTCTTTCAGTCAAAATCTATTTAGATGATCATTTTAGAAAACCCTAGAATACCATATATACCTCTATAAATCTTTTTACTAATCGCCAACCATGGTGGTGGCCTTTACTAATCCCTATCACAACCTTTAAATTTTGGCCCCTCCATTTTTCAAATATGTTTCGCCAACCCTAATGGCAATTATGAATACTTGCAACTACTTATTGGTATTATTCCAATCTTAATTAAGATTCCTTAAAAAAATAATTAGAATTATCAAAATAAATGTACATACGGTTGCAGGACATAGGTGTACTGGCCATCAACATTCCGCTCTTGATTGTATGATAAGTTGTATGAAATCATGGTCAAGATCAAATTCAAAAGTTTATTCTTCTCGCTTTGGCTATATAATTGAACATTCACCTGAAATGAGGCAGATTCAAAATGATTTAGCTCTTTAGAGACATAAATACCATAGAAGCAAAAACTGTGAATTCTCGAAGAGTGCTCATTAGAGTGGGGTGCACTTTCGAAAAAGGATGTTCATCCAGTGACCTATGGTTTATAAAATGCTTAATTTATTTTGCAACTAACTAAGTTCACAACAGAAAATAATTTAATATGATGCTAAAATTAATTACAAAGAGAACAAATACTCACAGGCCTCAATGTTGGATGAATGATTTCATATAAGTACGGAAATAAATCTTGTACGGAAGACAGATTTCCAACATTTTTCCTGACGCTTGGTTTGATATCACTTGTTATGGCTTCTAATAGTTGTTTGGAATGAGATACTCTAGTATGGAACTGAAACAAAGATAAAGAATAGAGAAAGACCAGATGAAAATATTTGCTTAGTCTATCAATGCAACTTAAAAAAGATAAATAATAAGGGTTAAAAAGTATACATACTCCATGCCTAAAATATATATTTGCCTAATGACGTCAGGAGCACGAAATAAATATTAAAACTGAGGCACCTGTTTTCAATTTTCAAAAATGCATTGGAAGTCCCTCTCTATGTATAACTGTTTTATAACTAAGTAATCTACCCCTTCTCCAAACATTATGCTCCTCCCAACTTTTGTCTACTAACTTTGAAATACTTCCTTGTCACTGATTTAAAAAAAAATCTCTTTTTTATGAAGTTTGTCTTTGTTTACTTTTTATTCTTATCTATTGACCAGTGCAAAATTGTCTGGATTGATATCAATTAAATTTTGTCTTGTACAGACATCAATAAAGATCTATGCTGGCCAACTATTCTGAGATCTCTTATATAAAGGGGATTGGAAATTTCTCTAGAAATGAATAAACATGGGAGTTGGAAAAAGTAGTAGAAAGCTGGAAACAAGACTGTGTGAGAAAATTAGAAAGCCCTGGGCGTAAAACAACTTTTTCAACTTAAACTAGCTATTGTTTTTCCTCAATCCTCTCCTTGAAATCATTTCTTGCATCGTTATCTGCAGGGTGCAAACCATCGTTATATGGAGAGAGGAAAAACAGAACAGTTGTCTAATTGTTATCTATGAATTGTCCCAGTGTTAATAAAGTCTCATGGTCCAAGAATCTCATGTATTTGCTTATTTCTTCATCGTTGCAAAAGTTAAGGTGGGAAACAAAAAAAATGGAATAGTCACGTGTTTGATTGACCATTTTCTGTCATATAAATGCCCCGGCCGATTATTTAAGATTTTCGAGTAAGTTCTTTGATCAATATAAAAACAGAATACGATATGTCAAGAGACCAAATCAAGTTTAACATTCTAAAATAACAAATACATGTTATCGTCAACGTAGCTCTGTATGCCTAAATAGTTGAGTACAGAAGATGCTAATGAAAATGTAAGAAAATACCTCGACGGCACTATTGCTGTAGCTGAGTTTTGGCGCCAAAGGCCTCGCCAGGTACATGTGAAATGCAACGGGTAAGAAGGGGTAGAATCGCATGAAAACGAAGGCTTGTTGAGAACGAATCTTTTTCTCCAAATGATCGCCAAACTGAAGCCAACTGGCACATTGTACGACCTTGACAAGGAAAATTAAAATCAAATGTAAAATGCATTGAGCTGGCCTGCATGGGATGAAAACACAAATTCACCAGGCAGGGGCGGATCCAGCGTCTGCGTTTGGGGAGGGCCATTTATGAAAGAAGAGGAGGCCTGCGAAAATTTCACAGACACGCCCTTCAAAGTCTCACCGAACGCGGGAAACGCCCCTTTCTATCAAAAAATTTCATAAGAAGGTACACTCTCAGAACACTGAAAATTAAGAAACTTCATTGCTGCGAGAAACTTCCAAGCGAAGTAAAGGCTAAAATACATGATGAAAAATTGATGAACTTTGGCTAATCGTGTAAACACGCGCTTCTTTAGTTAAACGGATGAAAAACGGATATAGAAATAACTTTGGGGAAAACTGACATAAAAAACTGATCGTGTATTTCAGCCTTTACAAATATTCATATTGAATATTTGGTCAGCAGCTTTCGCGCTTGACTTGGGAGGGGAACTATGACGCATCAGAGTTCGTGAATGACATTATAATTCCTGTGTTCAAGAAGCCGGCATAAGACACGTACCCTTAAGATGAAAAAAAGATTTAGAAAATGAGCAAAAGTCCCCACGTATTTGGTGCGTATAATTTGAATGGTAAATTTTCAAAATGGGTAGTCACCAAAAATTCATCGCAGCATAACAGGCAAAGCTGAGTAGTTATAGGTACTGTTTTGCTTTTGTTGGAAATAGTGACGCTTTTTGGGTATCACAATCGCAATAACACGATGAACAATGTTTGAACTGTAACCCATTTTAGCCATAACTTTCTCAACCATTAACGTTTGCAGACGTCATTCATTCATGATCGCAGTCATGATTTGTGTTAAACCATAGTCCATATGAGCCGCGAGATCCGGTCACATCTAATTTTGCATTGAACTATTGTTTTAGGCTTATCATAATTCTTGTGTTACACATCCACTTGCAACTTATTGCCTCACTGAAAGCGAGAGAATAAAGCCGACTGGAGGTTTGATTAAAATGTCTGGTCCGCCAAAGAAATCAAGAACTCTTGAATCATTCTTCTCAAAAAGTAGCCGCACCAGTTCAGTTGGAGATAACCCTGAAATCTCTAAAACATGTGAAACTACCACTTGCCAAGAATTTGAATCAAAATCTACTGGTGAAGAATTCGACACACAAAGCCAAGTTGCGGTAGTCCAGGATTGTCCTGAAGAGGAAACACACCCAGACCTCTGTTGTATGGCGACACAAGTAAATGTTGCAATATCTGATAGATATGACATTGGTAGAGCTATAATGAAAACAAAATGAGGAGAACAGCTGACAGATAACGAAAGGGAAGCATATTTATCGAAGAGGTGGGTGCCGCAGAGAAGGGATGAATATCCATTTTCTGAAAAGAAAAAACCAAAGAATCAGCTCATGGTTGGTATGTCCTCGACAACGAAGCGTTTTCTGGGTGAAAATCACTTGAAAACCTTCCCCTGGCTAGCTGTCAGCAGAGAGCCAAAATGTTGCGGTGCTTGGTGTGTTTATTGCGTTTTATTCAAGACGTGCGAGAGTGGAGGTGGAAGAGGTGCACAATACGGAGGTGGAGCAGGCCAGTCAATGGGCAAACTTGTTAACAAGCCTCTTGTAAACTTTTCAGACTTGACAGGGAAAAATGGAGCCCTCACAAGTCACCAAGAAACATCTTTTCATAAGACATGTGCCATAAAGTACACGGAGTTCTTGAGCCGTGCAACACCTGGGAGTGAGAAGGACGTTCGATCAATAATGAACATTGAAAGGCAGAAAGAGATTGAAAGAAACAGGACTGCGCTGGTTCCCATCATCGACACCCTTCTAACATGCGCCAGGCAAAATATTGCGCTTAGAGGCCATCGTGATGATGGACCAGTAGATTCAACTGGGATGGAACCCAAGCACAATGATGGAAACTTCAGGGCATTGCTGCGATTGAGAGTACGGGGAGGAGATACAAACTTGAAAGATCACTTGAAATCTTGCAAACGCAATGCTTCTTTGGTAAGCAAAACGATACAAAACGAGCTAATTGCCTGTGCAGGAAATATTGTCAAAGAGGACATAGTAAGAGATGTAAAAAATGCAAAATTCTGGACAATAATGGCCGACGAAACCCAAGATTGTGCGAAACGAGAACAGTTGGTCATTGCAATTCGTTACGTTGACACAAAAAATGTGCCAAAAATTATCAAAGAAGAACCGGTCGCAATTTTAGACCTGATTGCAGACATAAAAAGCAGTGACCAATCAGATGAAACAGAGCACAATGAAATTAAGCTATGTGGCAAGGCAATAGGGGAGACTCTACTCCGCCATATAAGTGAGCTTGGGTTGGATTTGCAGTACCTCGTTGGTCAAGGATATGATGGTGCTGCATCGATGTCCAGTGAGCGAGTTGGTGTTTGCTCCTTTATCAAATCTGCTGCGCCACTCGCTGACTACTTCCACTGCTGCATGCACGCGCTAAATCTAAGTTGTTCTCGAGCCGCAAAGATTCCAGCAATCAGACATTGCATGGATGACATCAAAGATATCAACAATTTCTTCAAGCATGCGAAAAGAAAACAAGCTATTTGCAAGCCTCAATGCAGGCACGAGAATACAATGAAGAGCTATTCACCAACTGCCGTCGCTGAAGACTCTTCATTGATTATCGTATACTGACTAGCTTGCAAATAGCTGATTCTTTTATTCGGCATAGCTGAAGAAGATTTGTCTGATACGTATTGATTCATCCCATGACATGTCTGATTGCTGGTATCTTGCGGCTCGAGGAACAACTTAGATTTTAGCGCGTGCATGCAAGCAGTTGGAAGTAGCTTGCAGCGAAGTGCGCGATGCAGATTAAGATAAAAGGGAGCACACCAACTCGCTCACTGGACACTCGATGCAGCAACATCATAATCCTGACCAACGAGGTACTCAATCCAACCCAGCTCGACTTTATATGCGGACGATATAGTCCCCCATTGCCTTGCCACAACTAGCTAATTTCATGTGCTCTGTTTCATCTGATTGGTCCCCTGCTTTTTATGGTCTGCAAACAGTTCTAGAATCATTGCGACCGGTTCTTCTTTGAATAATTTTGGCACATATCTTTGTGTCAACGTAAACGAATTGCAATGACCATCCACTGTATCTCAGTTTCGCACAATCTTGGGTTTCGTCGGCCATTTATTGTCGCAGATATTTTGCATTTTTACATCTCTTACTAACATGTCTCTTTTGACAATATTCCTGCACAGCATTAGCTCGTTTGTATCGTTTTGCTTACCTAAAGAAGCAATTGAACGAGTTTGCAAGATTTCAAGTGATCTTGTCAAGGTTGTAAATCTCCTCCCCGTACGCTCATCGCAAGCAATGCCCTGAAGTTCTCCATCATTGTGCTTGGTTTCCT